GGTATTTTTATTGGGTCAGGGGGCAAGCCCCCCAGAAACCCCCCTACTTTTGGGGCCAAGGCCGGCAAATAACAATAGTGGGGTGGGAACTTCCGAAAAAGCGCCGAATCTAGATCTAGAATCTAGCCCTAATTGTCGGTGGGGTGAAAACTAGTATCCCCAAACAGGACCCACATTCTTTGGAAGCGCGCGGGCTAGGGCTGTACCCCGGTAGCAAACCCGCTCGTGCTCGCAAGCCCCTAGTTCAAGTCACAAGCCTCAAATCACTAGGTCAAATCATCAAATCAAATCACCAGCATGATAAGTTGAGTCTAGCGCAAACTGTAACCTCCTTGGTCTAGTCTAAACTTCAAGTCTACAGCAACTAGCAATCCGCGAAGCCACTCGTGTCAGGCCCCCTCATCATCCCCACCCTGCTTGCAATCCGCGAAGCCACTTACGTCAGAAAAAGAGAGAGTGGGAGAGTGAGAGATTCCGCCCACAGAGTCACTGTGCGGCGTGGCGCTGTACTTTACTCGATTAATCGAAGGCCTGCGCAAGCAGCGGACAGTCCTCAAGCCTCAAATGCCGTCCGCAGCCACAAGCCCCACAATTCGCACAGTACTGATTTGCGCTAGGCCTAGAGCATTGTCCCAGGACAAGCTCTAAACCTGACCTGCTGACTTGTACTGTCTCGATACACCGAGCGAGCGGCACGCCGCAGGACCGCTCGATGGCGCAGGACCGCTCGATGGCGACAAGACCGCTCGATGTGTTCAAACAGCAGTACTGCTCGCTGTGTGAACTTTGAACCGTGGAGGAAGGGAGAGGCTGGGCTTGTTTTGGTGCAAGGCGTAGAGAGCTGAAGTTATTTTTAACTTCCCGCCGTTGATCAGCTAAGCGAATGGATAAGTGAGAGGGAGCGTGGAATTGTAGTAATAGAGACCTAGGTTTCTGGTAGTAATAAGAATAAGTTGACTTAGATTACCCTAAAATGGAAAACTCCAGGGGTCGTTGTGATTGGCTTTTGTATCGTATGTATGTAACCTATTTTGTAAATGTGTTACACTCACAGTGACATAATACAGAACATTTAACAGACGGGCTAGGCCTACTTCAACCCAATGTCAGGGCCAACCTGGGCTGAGAGGGAACAACGCCCCAGTAGAAAGACGGAGGTTCTCAGTAAAAATTTCTCCCCATACGGGAATCGAACTGAGGTCGTTTGCGTGCGACGATGAAGCGCTTGGCTCGTGCACATTAAAAATAAACAGGCCTTAACAGCCTTAAATAGCCGATCCAATATTAATTTTAAAGTGCATTGAATAGAGCTTTTTGTTTTTTACAACCCAACTATGAAAAAAAACCGATCTTGCACTTTTGGTGCAAGCCTCTCAACGCAAAAAACCAGAGAATCTTCTGTAATATGTACTGAGCCCACAGCCACGAGAGTTCGCGACGTCACGACACAGTACAGCAGGACTGTCCGCGAGTCACAACTCCCCGGAGTTCCCTCCAGTAGCAAGCGGGAAGCAAATCAAATCACAAGCCTGCTCGCAAGCCTCTAGCGCAAGCCGTCCGTTGCTTTGCAAGCCTTCGATTAACCGAGCAGAATCCAGCCCTAGCGCGGGCCCATATAAAGGGCATGAGCCAGGCTACCCGTGAAGCGCGCAGGCCCTATATTTAGGGCTGACCTACTTCAACCGGGAAGCGTGCCTGCTGGCCCTATAAAAAGGGAATTTATAGAGACGCTGACCTTTTTCAATGGAAAATTTCAGTATTCCTTTTATGGAAAATGACGTAGTAAATTACAGGTCAAAGTTATAAAGTAAAATTAGCGAGAAAATGGCCGCCAAAGTTTGGTGACCTAAATAGCTCAAAAGTCCTTAAAAACTGCAATTTTACATTTTTCGTGTCTTTAATCAATGTTTTCCCATATAATCCCCACATAAAAGTGTTTCTGAATGAACATACAACAAGGTGTTTGAGCCCAAAAAAAAAATTCAAAAAAAAAAAAAATCCAAACTGGCAGAAAAGTGTGTGTGTGTGTGTGTGTGTGTGTGTGTGTGTGTGTGTGTGTGTGTGAGTATGAATGTGTGTGTGTGTGTGTG